CACCTTAAAAACGTTTACTTCAATTGTTCTCAGCCATTTGACTTAAACAGTACTTGTAATTGACTGCCATCACATATTAATAGATGGTAATATGCATAGTGATATCGACTACTCCCTTCCACATATAACAAATACCAGCCTTCTCGCTCACTTCTACGCAAAACAAAAGATAAATAGCAGAACTAATATGACCGCCACGCAACGCTCGAGACCTTTGCCAGCTAGCCAACAAATTCTCTATTTCTAAATAACAGCGAAGTGCCAACTATAAGAGGAGACGTTCAAAGCTTGACAATAAGAAGATTCAACTGCATTTTGTAATTATGTTTTGGTTTATGTACTGCTTCTGTTAATTCTACTTAATTTGTTCTCCGATATGTACATAACTTTTTTTTCAGTATTGGAGAGTTTAGGGGCGTGCTCGGAGTGCAATAATAACAATTAATTAAAAATTAATAGAAATATTAAAATACTAAAATAAATGAAAACTGATTTTTCTAAAATATTTCATATGTATTTTTGTATAATTCTTCCCGTTTTTAATTTTTTTCAAAAATCAATTATCCTCAACTGATATTTCGTTGGAAGCGCTATCAGGGAAGTTACTATGTTCACGGACAAAACAATTAGTGTATCAAAAAAAAAATTACGGAATCGTAACGAAACGTGGCACGAAGGTACATGTCGAGGAGATATGCAAATGATTAAAAATACAGTGTGATTGCGCATTACGTATAGTCGGTAAAGGGCGTTTAACGTCGTTCTCCGTGGAGTATAAAATAGGTAACCAAAGCTTGCTTGAGTGGGTTGAATCGTTTACAAAGGAAGAACTGAAGTAGACATGCCATTAAGCCATTTTCGAAGACAATAGGAACAGCTGTCGCAGTTTGAGAGGGGGAGATGAAGATGATGAAAGCTGGGTGGCCAGTTAGGCGAATAGCTCGTCAATTAGGCAGCTCTGATTGTGTTGTGAGGAGGTGTTGAGACCAGTGGATCCGAAAGATGTTATTTACACGAAGACCAGGCAGAGGATGCCCTTGAGGAAATTGGACTGCAGGTCATCTTTGGTGACGATTTGGTTCCAGATTCAATCTCAGCAGTGATGACAATTGTGTTCTTGAGTGGAGACTTCGCGGTGATCGCCTCAATTCTGCCTTTGTTTTACCGCGAAACACCACTCCCACAACTGGTGTGATGGTATGTACAGCCATTAACTACAATACATGGTCACCTGTAGTATTGATCCGTGGCACCATGACAGCCCAGCGGTAGGTCCATGACATGCTGCAACCACATGTGTTGCCACTCATGCACCGTCTCCCAGGAGCCATTTTTGAACAAGACAATGCTCGGCCTCACATGACCAGGGTGTCACAAGACCGTCTCCGCACTGTTACTACCATTCCTGGCCTGGCCGCTCCCCAGATTTGTCTCAAATCGAGCATATGTAGTATCATTTGGGATGGCGAGTTGGACATCCCAAAGTTTGAACGAACTAGAGGCAAGGTTACAGCAAATATGGAACGAAATGTCTTAAGACATTATACAGAACTTATATGCCTCAATGCCCGATCGTATCGCATCGTGCATTCACGTTAGAGGGGGTTCAACAGGGTATTGAATCCTCCGTTCTTTTGCCTTTTTCTCTAAAATAAATTATCCTTTTTCTTTGATTTTCTAATAATTTACTTACATTAAAGTGGTCATAACGTATGTAAAATTTTGTTTCATTTTAACGACTTCTTGGTGCGCTAATTTTTTTGTCCATGAACGTATTTTGAAATGCAAAGAAATATTGTTTATTTATAATTTTGTTTCAGTTTAAATACCCTCATAATGAATAAGTGGCTAAAAATAGGCACCTAACGTCGAGAAAATGAAAAGAATGACAATACAAATGAGAAAAATAGACCAATATATAATAAACTTACAAAAAAGTTGGATGAAAACCCAAACAAATATATAAATCCAGTGGCACTATTTCTATTTCAAAAGTATCGAATGAAATACGTTATCTAATAAAAAATTTTGAAAATATCAAGAAGAATTTATTAAATACGGATTTACATTTTGCGTTTTTGATGGGAAGAACACCCGTTGTGTGTTAATTGCTCAGATAAATTAACAAATGAAGCTTTTAAGGGAGTTTATCCATGTGATGGGTTCAAAATATTGGGTTTTGTTTTCTTTCATAAATTGTTTCTTTAAAATGTCTAGAATACGGTAGTTTTTTGAAAATATTCTGCTGCTTTTTTTATGCGGAAGTTTTGAATAATTCAGGTTGCTTTCGAATATGTTTTAAGACATACAATACAAATGTGTGAGGCAACCGAGAGTTGAACAATTCTAAATTTTGAGTTTGGAACGACAATTGTAGTTTGCTTGAAAGCGAAAGATACTGCGATTATTAATAGCATTAGCATTGTTTCAAAGTGAAATTATGAGCCTTTTGAGCGGATTTGTAGACATATATGGAAAAATATGTGAGAAAGACAACACTGAGAGCAGAAAAAGGAAGGGGAATATCAATATTACTATTGTTTTTATCCTGGACACCAAAATATTGACAACCGTTTTTTTAAAAATATGCAAAAGTTTCATCTCGTAATAATAATTAAATATTTAACGTTACATTTCATGATGGACATCAACTTTTCAAGAAGTTTACTTAACTCTTTATAATACAATTTTTTATAGTATGAAATCCCCCCTGTAGTATTTTAAAAATAATCCTTAATTAAAAAATCCGTTGTAAGAACCAAATATTAGTCAAAAATGCGTTTTTTGCTGATAAATATCCACTGAGGAATTGTTTTTTCTTCGGTGTTTTGTCTATTTATTTACTACTCCTTTGGTGTAACGGATTTTGTCATTTTCAATCATTGTCAGTCGACATGAAGCAAACCTGATTCAACACTTTCCTCTTTTTACTGCGACAATTTATTTTTCTTTCATGACTCAAAAGAATTTTGAATAAAACTACCAACGAAAACCTTTCTTTATTTAGCATACTAATGGAATTGAGACCAGAATTTGTAATTCATTGCTTTAAAATTGGTGGTCTGCCTCAGAGTTTGAATAGGAGAAATAGAAAAAAGAACAAATTGATACTGTTTTATTATAAAATAGAATAAATTAAAAGTAAAAAAAAATTATAAAAAACCAAGCTTTTAGCAAATGTGCTAAAAAGAATAAGTTATACAATTATTTTTTCTTTCAGTTTGAAAGAAAGTATAGGATAGTTTTTTTAAAAAAGGTCGAAAAATCGGAACTTCTTAACGCTCAATCCCATAAGTTGCTCAGCAGAATAAAAAGCGAACAGGGGTAAAAGGGTTTTAATGAATAACTTTTTAACTAATTACGATATCGGAATATAAATGGTCAAAACATGCATTACCATCCAAACTAAACGTGTATACAAAATTTCAGCTCAATCGGTTGAAGACATCAGCTTCAAAATCAAGTTGCAAGATTCCACTCGAACAAATTACATTGCTAGTTAAATAAAAGCTTGTAAAAAGATCTGGTTGAGAGAGAGAGAGAAGCAATGAATGTGTGTGTGTGGATAGATTGATAACTTCAGACTTTACTTTTTGTTTTGCTTAGAGACACACTGCTCTAGAGCAGAGGTGGTGAACCTTTATAAGTCAACGTGTTATTTTTTCTAAAGAAATGCTTAATGAGGTATAGACGTGCCAACAAATAATTTTGACTTGTGATTATTGGGAAAATAATAAAACTAAATACTAACACAAAACACCATAACTCTTCATTTACTACAGAAAAATACATTTTGTATTTTATAGTAGTAAACGTCTTAGTTAAACGTGTCATTCAAATTATATAAAGCAACATTAGTGTGATTTCTGCTATTGCAGATTAGATGACAAATAAATTATATTAGGATTGGGTAAGAGGTTACTTTTAGTAGAATGCATGCTGAGTTGAAGTCATCTGCCAAATGGTTGCTAAGCGAGTCTTTAATTTTACTCACCTCTGAAAATAATGACTCGGAGGCATAGGTCGGAGAAAATATGGTTAAAATAGCATGGGCCTGCTTCTTCAAACAATTAAACGTGTCTGGAATCGAATTTAATGTTTCAAAAATTTCGTTGCTGGCATTTGTACTTATATTGCTTATAATAATCTTTCTGTTTCTATCAATTCTAACTTTCTCCTTGCTTCAATAAATTTTTGAATCCTTGTTGAACTAGACTAGAAATTAGTAAGTTGCACTTCAAATTCTTTATTTTCCATACAATCGAATTGGGGAAAGTTCAGTATCAGGGTACATAATAAACTTGAGAGTTTCTGAAAATTCTTTGTGCCGCGTGCCATTATTGGCACGTGTGCCAATGTTTCGCCATCCCTGCTCTAGAGTTTAAGCTTTGCAAGTAATGGACATCGAAACGTATTCTTTGTAAACATTGGAATCTCTAATAAAAATATACTTATGAATACAAAATATTAATAATTGTTTAACTGCTCCATATAATAGAAATTGAAAATATGATCGTACTTAATTACCTTATTGGCCCAATAAAACGAATAGTTCACACCTTAAGCTATCGTTTTAATAACAAGATAAACCAAGCTAACTTTAGTATAAATGCTAAATTTTAAATGACATTAGGTACATGATAACAGTCATCAAAATGCCTTTATTGATATTTTTATCCTTCGGAGAATATTTTTTTTTACGAAAAATGCCTAGTACTGCCAAAATGTAGATGAATAAAAAAAAAAAGAAAAATATAGTGAGAAAACTACTTTTTTCTTAGTACTTGGGAAGGTGACCACATGCGAAAAACGCGTGCCGTTGGCATTTTTTTATTTCCTAATATTAAAAATTTAAAATTCTTTTTCAATTCCTTCTATTATAGTTCACGTTCTAACTATATATATTTATTTATGCATCTTCTTCCAATCAATTTCAAATACATTTTTTAACTTGATGTTGGTACAATTTCTTCAAATGTTAATATTTTAATTAAATTTAATTGCGTTCTTACTGTGATGGAAACACCAGTTCTCGTCCGATCACCGAAGCTAAGCATCATCGGACCTGGTTACTACTAGGGAGGGTGTCCACTTGGGAAAACCGCGGGCTTTTCTTTATTTCCTAATATTAAAAATTACACAATTCCTTCTTCTATTCCTTCAATTAGTTCACTCTCCGTGTATATATTTCTGTATGTATCTTGTCAAATTTTTAATCGTTGTTAAAATTTTTTATTCGTTCATTTAGTTCAAATATATATTTTTAAAACTTGTGATGGATGGATCTTGATGTAGGTACAGTTTTTTCTATTATTAATACATTAATTAAATTTAATAAATTTCTTATGCTTTTCTACCAAAGTGGTTGTGTCGTTACTGCTACTGGCCATACTACTTCTGAAAACGCCGGTTCTCGTGTTATCTCTAAAATTAAGCATTATAGGGTGCGGTTGGTACTTAAGAGGTTGACCACCTGGGAACCCCATGTTCTATAGGATTTTTTTTATTTCCTATTATTAAATCACAAATGGTTGGAAGAGTATGCAATCTAAGGTACACCAGCGAAGAGCGTTGTCAATAACGAAAAAAAAAGTAGAAAGAAACAAGTATATAACAAACAAAAATAATAGTTCAACCTCATATATAAGAAGGAAAATTGTACAAGGCAAATTGCATTCTACTTTGTCACTTAATATTGTGATTCTGTCATATGTATATGCATATTTATATTAAATGTAATTATTTAGTAACTAGAAAAAAATATCAGGTACAGTTAACAGCTCCTTTAGCATTAATTTTTTTAAAAAAAATCTTTTTTCGGAATCACAGTGCGCGATACAGTAGAAGATGGAAAAAAAGCTTGGTTTAGACTGATAGACAATGCGAAGAAAAAAGACAGAGAGAGAGAGAGAGAGAGAGAGAGATTGTGTTATGAAACGTTGCAATGTGGATAGTGCTATGCACTACTCAGCTGTTTCTTTTCAATAAGCATCGCTTTTAGTTATTTATATTATAGAAAAATAATTTTATTTTCAGTCTAAAATCATCTAAACTAAATTAAATCTTTTAAATTTCTTCATTTTTTCGGAAATATTAAATTTTAAAGTTATTTTATAGTTATTTTTATTCAAATCTCCATACCGTTGGAAATTTCCATATAAGTAGGTTATGCGTATGATTATTATAGTAATTTTTTTTCTTCATATAATCCGCAGTATTGCTTAATATTTGAGTGTGGTCAAAACGTGAATTTATTTGATGCATTGGTACCAAAATCTGCAATACGTTGATCACCTGGAAGAAAAGCGTAACAGATTAACTAAGATTTTTAAAAACTGATGAAAGTTTTGAAATGTATAATTTATGTTAAAAAAGCGTGTAAAAAATTGTCGATGACACATCGCTTATGAGTTCATTACTCCATCAAGGTTAGCTATATTGTGATGAGTGCATTTAGAGAAGTAAAAAATAATTTTTATATTGCTTTAAGCATCTTCAGATGAAAAGATAGTGAAAAATATAATTTCAAAAGGAATATTTTACGATTAAGGTAATTGGTATGGAAATATAAAACAAGTAATACAAAAGAAAATTTTTTTAAAGTCAATTCCTACTTAGGTCATGTATGAAAAACTTTATTTTAGTTACTTTTTATTAAATAATAATATAAATATGTACACTGAAGTGCGACTGAATTACGGATAGCAAGAGCTATTCAAATTGTATAGCGCTACGCATCATTTATGCGCAAGTGAGGGCACTGGGGTAACTCCATACATAGAGCGTACTCTGGTTTTTCTAAATTACTCAACTTCAGAGCAGCCATTAGAGAGCTTTCTCACTTATTGCTATCAACCAATGTCATTGTTTATACTACAACTCCCAGTTGACTGTCAAAAAACTTTTTTTCTCAGGTGGCCGCGGACGAGTTTTTTACCGCCGAAATCAGAAGACTACTAAAAACCCGCCAGACTGTGACGTCATTCGCCTGCATTACCTTGACCCAGCCAATCAGATCACGTTTAAACAATCAACCGCCGAAACAGTGAACGTCATTTGTTTTTCCCACTCAGATTATCCACTTGTCGGCGACAAAATACATGATCAGATAAGGGATGGAGGATCTATATATTGCAGATCAATATCCCTGTGACGTGAGGAAACGAAGAAACGTATTCTAAATTAACTGTTGAAATTGCCAGTATGGGTAAACTGTCAGATTTAGACGCCTTCGAATGCAAAAAAATCGTAGGTGCACGAAGCATGGGCCATTCAATTTCTGAAATCATCAGACAGCTAGGATTTTCAAAGTCAACAGTATCAAGAGTATACCAAGAACACATGGATGGTGGACAAAAAACTAGCGATCTGGCAAACTTCAAAGGGCAATTAGCCTTGACAGTGCGTGGTGAGAGAAGGCTCAGGCGTATTTGTACATAGCCAGCGAAGCCATACATTAACTCAAATTACCACTCAGTTGAATGACGGTGCCAGTCATACAGTCAGTAAACGGATGGTGCAAAGCTCGCTTCACCGTATGGGTTTCGGGCGTCGTCTCCCTAACAGAGTACCATTGTTCAATGCTCGCCATCGGGCTTCACGTCTTGCCTGGGCAAGAGAGCACAGATAATGGAGTGTAGATGACTGGAAACGAGTAGCATGGAGTTCTGTGAGTCTCGATTCCACTTACTTAACGCCGAAGGGAGGCTGAGAATATGGCGTCAAGCTTATGAAGCCACGGGCCTCGCATGCCAGGTTGTTACTGTACAAAGCCATGGCGGTTCAATCATGGTCTGGGGTGATTTTCGTGGCACTGTTTGAGATCTTTGGGCATGTACCAACCTCCCTCAATTCAATTTGGTATGTAGAATGGTTGGGTGATCACCTCCATCCGTTAAAATGCTGTTCTATTATCCGTATGGCAGTGCTTCTCAAACTTTCAATATACGTGACCCACTATTTAGTCATAATTTTCATCGCTCCCCGCCTCCATACAATAACAATGTGTTGAATTCAATGATACTATACTTTGACACTAAAGCTACAATATACGACTTTAACCCCTTATGTGCCAACGACGCATATAAACGTGTCGCTCAGCCAAAGCATTAATTTTCTGGACGTATATATACATCTTTCCGAAGTACGACCTGTTCTGTGCAATGCTATCCATAAAATTATTCTGAGGTCTTTGGAATGCAGTAAAAGGACCTTGTCAGTGTTTGGGAAAGATTTACTTATTTCAGAGGATTTTTGCTTATTTATTTATTTCCTCCTCCCCCGCAAAAAAACAACAACAAAACATCAAAAATCGTTTTAAATAACCTTTTTATCTGAATTTTATCGACAGATTTCAAGATATGGTCGCCCATGGGTTCACTCATATTTATCAAACTTGTTCTTAACTTTGTATTGTTAAATTAATAATAAAATATGCAATATACAGTACTGATAGATTTATAAGTGTATTATATCAGTGTAAATGTGTATTCTATACTTTATTATATCAGACAATATTTTGTTTATTTACTTTCAGTAAATTAATAATTTTTAAATAACCTTCTGTTTTCGACTTTTCAATATGCTCGCGCCCCCCTTGTAGAGTTATCACGCCTTCCAAGGGGGGCGAGCCCTACAGTTTGAGAAGCGCTGCTGTACGGTAATGGGGTTTTCCAGCAAGATAACTATAACTCTTATAAGTCCAGGTAGGCTACTGGCGGGTTAGATGAGCATTCTTTTAACTTTTCTGTCATAAACCGGCCACCTAGAAGTCCATATTGAAATACTATTGAGCTTCTTTTGGATGTTCTCGAACTAGACGTGAAAGGCCATCACATAGCACCAACGAATCTTACTGAATTATGGACAGCTTTAGCCAATATTTGGCAAGTCATTCCCGTGGAACGTTTCCAGAAACTTGTTGAACCTATAATTCGTCGTGTGGCAGCCGTTATCAAGGCCAGAGGAAGTCCAACTCGTTACTTGGTAGGTATCCCTAATTCAGTGGCACTTCAGTGTATATACATATAACAGAATTACAATACTAAGTGGCAAAATAGAAAATGATTTTGCCTGCAATTTTCCATTTTCCTTTCTATATATAATGTTGGACTATTATTTTTGTTTGTTATTATTTATTCGCTAATTAAATTTAATTATTCCATTAAAATAGTATAGTAAAAAGGAATCATATTTTCAGAAGTTAGGCGAACTCAAGGGGGATTCGAACCTATGACCTGTGGATCAGGAGTCCAACGCGCTATCCATTGCGCTACAGGGACAGAACGAGCGCTTTTCCTTTCTATATATGGTGTTGGATTATTATTTTTGTTTGTACTATTTATTCATTAACTAAATTATTTTTATTGAATTGATATTTGAAAAAAACTGCATCAACATCAAGTGTTATCCACTACAAGTATAAAAAGTGTATTTGAACTTGAGTGGATAAGAAGTTATTTAGTAAAAGTATTTTTATTGAAAATTTGATCAATATATATATATATATATATATATATATATATATATTTATAAATAATATATAATATATATATGGATTGGGAGAGTGTGAACTATAACAGTAGGAATTGTGTGAAAAACTCCCCTGGTATTAATATCAATTAGATACCGGAAAGGTATTGTCGCTTATCTTTAGTTCTTTCATGATAGTATGTATAAAAAAATAAATGGGCGAGATATTCATTTGAATATAACAATAATAAAGGGTACGATTCAACTGTTAAAAATCGGTCAAAAAAATCAAATCTAATTTTTTTAGCATAGATTATTTTTTATACACTTTTCTACAAACGCACAAAATTTGAAAGCTCTAAATTTAAAAAACGCAGAGTTGTGATAACTTCGACGTTTGCTTTTATTCACATTCCAATGGCAAATTAAAACTTTAAACTGACTTATCTCGGAAAGATAAAATAACTAATTTATCTTTAATTAAAATGCTAAGGCTTTTTTTTCTATTGAGCCTAATACTTTGAAATTTTTTCCACTTGTTGCTAAAAGTACATGAAATAAAAGTTGGTATGCATTTTTTAATCAAAGTAATACTTATTTTTTTTTAAAAAAAATATGAATTTAAAATTAACACATTTTTTAAGGAATTTTCAATAAGCATTCACAAAAAAAAGTATTGTAGAAATACCAAACATGTTTTCGCAAAACGAATGCCAACTTTTATCACATAGATAGTTTTACGTACTTGTAAATCAAATTTCATATATGTATGTCAAGTTTTGTAGGAAGAGTATCCTTTTAAAATCACGTCATAAGTTTCAAGTTTTTCCTTTAAAAAATTAAACGGTTAGTTTTTTATGAAATTTTGAGCACAAAATCTGTTTTACATAATACACACACATAGGCGGCATTCAAAAATTATGAAAATTTTCAAATTAAAAAAAATTGTGTAAATCGTACCATGTCCCCTTAAAGGACAATTGATACATGCACAATTACATGTGTATTACGTAGTT